AATTTGGAATAAGGGTCATAGAGAAATCCTCCCCAAGGCCAAGCAAAAAATATTAGATTTTTCACCTCCTAGGGACAAAAGAGAAGCTCAAAAGTTCGTTGGGTTGTTTGGTTTCTGGAGAATCACATTCCTCATTTAGGTCAGATTTTGAAGCCATTGTATAAAGTTACCCGGAAAAAGTATGCATTTGAATGGGGGGAAACAGAATCGAAAGCCTTTGAGGAAGCCAAAATAGCTATTCAAACTGCCCTGGATCTTTGGCCTGTACAGCCAGGGCCGATGGAATTGCAAGTTACAGTTTTGCATGGATATGCTGATTGGAGTTTATGGCAAAAACAACAGGGCAGGAATGTTCCTTTAGGATTTTGGTCGCGGAAACTGCCACCTGCTGGCCAAAATTATACTCCTTTTGAACAACAATTATTGGCTGCATATTGGGCCCTGGTAGAGACAGAACATTTAACTTTAAACCATGAAGTTGTATTGAGGCCAGCCATACCCATTATGAGTTGGATTATGGGGACCCCCGCCTCACATAAAATAGGACATGCCCAAGAATCATCAATTATTAAATGGAAATGGTATTTGCAAAATAGAGTCAAGACAGGCAGATCGGGTGTTTCCACCTTGCATGAAAAGGTATTAGAATTACCAAAACATTCAAATGATATTGATATACCACCAAAGTCTTATGATCAATCACCTGTTTCTTGGAATAATGGATATGATTCTCTAACCCCCGAGCAGAAGAAGCATGCTTGGTTTACTGATGGCTCGGCTAAATATATAGGATCTAAGCGATGTTGGAAAGCTGTAGCCTATAATCCTTCATGCAATACTATTTTGGAAAGCTCTGGTGAAGGCCAGAGTAGCCAATGGGCCGAATTAGTGGCTGTCTATCAAGTAATTCAAAAGGAACAAGGTGGCCAATGTCATATATATATACTGATTCCTGGGCCGTAGCCAATGGCCTAGCAGTTTGGATGCCAATTTGGAAGAAACACGAATGGAAAATTAGAGACAAAGATGTGTGGGGAAAAGAATTATGGGAACAAATATGGGAATGGTGTCAATGTACTAATGTATCTGTATTTCATGTAGATGCCCATGTGAATCAAGATTCTGTGGAACGTGAGTATAATGCCCGTGCTGATGAATTATCCAAACTTCAAGGAAAAGCTTTAAAGGTCACCCCCAGAGAGGAAAATGAAACACAATTAGGAAAATGGGTCCATATCACCGCAGGACATCTTGGCGCTCTTGCATCTTACAGGTGGGCATTAGACAGAGGGATTAACATACCTCTGGATCTATTTAAGCAAATAGTACAAAACTGCATACAATGTCAATTATTTGCTCATCGGCCTGTGCCGAAGAAAATCACTGGAGAATTGGCTAGAGGGTCTTTACCTGCTCAAATTTGGCAAATAGACTATATTGGACCATTACCTGTTAGTCAGGGGTGTCAATATGCCTGCACTTGTGTGGACACCTACTCTGGGGTATTAGTTGCCTGCCCCTATAAACGGGCTACCCAGAAAAACACTTGTAAAACCCTAGATATTATTTCTCTTTATTATGGGACCCCCCTACAAATACAGAGTGATAATGGTACTAAAGTTTGGATAAAGAAGCATCAATCTGATAGACCAAGGCCAGCTGAGCTCATAGCACAAGGAAACACTAATACTGCCATAGTAGTATACCCTGGTGATGATAAATGGTATCATGTCCCACTAACCCAAATGTTTTTACGATATTAAGTGTTTTACAGTGTTTGCCTGCTATACGCTAACTATGGCATGAACTCCAGGTATTCCAGTGGGGAATCCTCAGCAAGGACCGCGTACTGATTCCATCTACGCTGGTGAAAACAACACCCACATCATGAATTGGTCATACCCATTCAACGTAGAAGTTTGGGACGCCCCTTATTTCCCCTAATGAGAATCAATTTAACTAGTTTTAATCTAACTGTAACTGCAGCAAACGGTACCAATATATCCTGTACCCTTACAAGTTGGCCACCTAGTCCATATTTTCCTAAAAGGTTAAGATCTGTAACATATAATTGGACACAAGTAAACTCCACCTACACTGTCTCACTATCACAAGCGGACGACAGAAAATATTTTTATTGTCGTAACACCTCCAATGGGCTGTATGAAGAATATCTAAACCAATTAGTATGGGTTGTACCTGTGACTCCGAAACCTCCTGGAATAATTCGTGTCCCCGCTCATGTACTAACACCTCTATCTTGCAACACAAAATAGTGTTTCATTATAATGTAACTTTTCCCTCTTTAGAAAGTTGTGTCAGGAAAAAAAGAGCTTGGTATGATACATTACTTGGTGGTGCAGGAACTGGTTTGGGTATAGTTAATTCTATAGACCTTGAGACCTTGGCTAGCAGACTGCGCAGTGCTGGACAAGATGTTTCTCAAGCTTTGACTGTGAATGCCCAATGGTTACCCACAACGATCCTGCCACACCAAAATACATTACAATATCAAGGCCAATTTTTACAAGTCTTTAATAATAGCATCCTCGTTAATTTACACCTTATGAAAAACATTGGTGTTTTATTTAATTGGACTAAATGTTCCTTGCAAAACTTATATACCCTCATACAGAAGGAAAATGCCCAAAGATTACTACAGGAAGGTAACTCTCACATATGGAACGATATACTTGACTTGTCAGATGTATGGAAAAAGCAAAAACCTGAGAATGCTAGATGCACTCCACTTTGGTGCGCTGGAACTATTATACTCTACCAAGTTAAAACTTGGACTGTTATGTGTCAATTTCATGTAATACCTTTTGTCTTACATAAATACTTTGCTTTACCTTATATCTATGGAAACTATATAGATTGGTATAATGTAACTCATACTCTGTCTGATTGTGTTGTAACTAATGGAGGGATTGTTTGTGGGATGATGACTCGGCAGATGGAACCCTGCCTTCTCTCACATTCATCCAATTTGTGTGATCTAACTTTATACCCAGTGAGTAACTTTTCTATGATATATGAAGTATCTACTCAATATGTTTGTATAGCCTCTAATAATCACTCTGACCTTCTATCTGTAGATGTTACTACTGTCCCATTTTCTGGTTGCTTATCCAATGTATCTTTCCTACGCTGGCAAGGAAATGATTTTTACTTTCCACCAGACACTAACCTAGTTAAAAATTTTGCTTGGGTACCCCAATCTTTGCCTCTACCTCATGTGTCTCTATCTCTATATCCCCTTATGAACATCTTGAATCAGTCGACTGAAATCAAAAAGTTATTAGAGTCCAACCAACGCGCGTTAAATGAACATCGAATACAGACTCTTATAGCGCAGGAAGACTAGTCGAAGCTTCTCATTTAGTGATCTCAGATACTAATCATCATTGGTATGATTTTCTTTTTAAATCTCCTACTGCTACTATGTATTTTAATTCCTTAGCTACCCCCATACTACTACTTGCTTTGTTCTTTTTATGTCTTTGTATATGCAATTGTTATATGTATACCAAAATACGCACTATATACACTCATGTCACACCTTTGCCCCTCACCTATTATTCTCATGATCTTAAGGCCAAGTGAAATGGAAATTGGAAATTCCCCTTTAAATTAATAAGATCACTCAAATAAATAGGTTCAGTTCAAATCTCGGTCATGACCGTTCCATATCTCCTGAGTGTTCTTGGCCTAGCATTCCAGGAACTAGCCATTCCTAGGTCACGTTGACATGGAGGGTTGGCTCCTCTCCTTGTGAGACGTGATGTTATTAAAAAACAAAATACCAAGCCTCAGGCGGATGGGAGCGTGGCTAAGGTCAGATGTGTATTGGACAAACCATGAATAGCGCAAGCATCAAAAAGGGGTTCTTGGCCCCAAGCCTTCTTTGTTTAGAACAATATAAAAACACTGCGTCCTGTAAGCCCGCTGAGCCTCACCCGCGGGAAGGACGCTTCGCCCCGGAAAATCTTTACACAATTCAAGTTTGTACAGGCTGCAACGGGGCTCCCAGCCGTTGATTGATTTTGGAGGTTCCCTTGAATTGGTGATGTATTCTCTTCCATTACCGACTCTCTTGATCGGTGCTATATTATTGATTGTTCTTATTATTTATGCTTTCTATGCAAATTCAAACTATCTGTGCTTTGCTTCTTCTAAATAAATTATCTATTTCCTATTATTTTCTGGTGCATTGGAGAGTGTCATTTATAGGAGCGAATCTGAACCTCACTAAATCCTATTAATACATAAGGTCAAAACTCACATCTTAGTTTAGAAATCCACATTAAAAAGATTATCACTACCACACACAAAAATCAAAAGTGAATGCTGCAAAATTATAATAGAAGGTCTCTACATATGGCACATTGCACATATTTTCAGACTTTTACAATGTACTGATCAGTTATGATTTTTCTTCCTCTTTTCTTTAAATATTAAATATTTTCTGATATATGGGGTAAAGAGGAAGACACTGGGGGAGATTATGGTGATGTGTAAAAAAATGATACTAATAAAATTTATATTAAAAAACAACAACAAAAAGAATTTAACTGAGTCACAAAGTCAGTCTTTTTAATTTCCAATGTCATGTAAGTTGGGAAGAACATCTTCCATCCTATCTGCTTCTATGCATTCTCAACTGGCCACAATAAGGAATGCGGAAATAAGACTATTTTTTGAAAGCTTTGAAAATTTCAGTTTAAAAACTCAATTCTTTTTAACCTCCTTTTACCTTTGGCTGATTAGACCACAGAAAACTAAAAGAATTTTGCCTATATGATGAAGACACAAAACACAAAAAAATACTGCTGATAGCATATACTTACTATACACAATATTCTCATGTTCTCTCTTGTTCACTCTCACTCACTCACTCACTCATATGCACAGAAGCTGAATTTCCCTTAAGGCTGAAAAAGGAGACAGACACAAAGAAAACTCAGCAAAAGCTTTCAAGTTGTACCACTGGTACTTACCCCTCAAAGACCAGGGCAAGGGAGCAGTGAGGCTTAGGCTCGAATGGCTGCTCAGATACTTTGCAGAAGTTCCAGTCCTTTTACTAGCAGTTATACAGATCTGATCTGGATGGGTCCTCCAAAACTGCCAAAGAACCAGAAAAACCAGTCACATAAAAGGGAAACAGTAATATTGCTCTGAGCACTGTTTCCATTATACATGGTATAGCCACATAATTTTATAAGCTTTTCTGGAGGGGAAAAAGAGGTATCTAACAACAGTAGAAAAATTTCAAGATGTTATAACATTGTGTGGTTTCTCTTTGCCATCTGAAACAGTTTGCCTCATGTGTATCCTTTTGGTTTTGTAAGAGTATGTTTGTAAAAATATGTTTGCCACAACAATTCCTTAATCAAGGTTTTTCATGGTTCCAAGATGGAGACAATCTTACTTCTCCCTCTTCATTATGCAAGAAATTACTAAATTGTTCATATTCCAAGAAGTTTACAGCAAAAGAAGATTTATATGTACACAAATTTTCATTAGCAGTATTATTTGTGACAAAAGCAACTGGGTGGGAAAGAAAATACCCCAACACTGGGAAATGGATGAGCTGAAGTATATAACTAAATATTACTCCATGTGGATTATGAATTCAGAAAAAAACATGGTTAAGACTTTCATAAAGTGATACAGAAGAAATACTAGAATATTTTTAAAAAACTAGGAGGTAACACAACTAGGGAAAAATATGAGGCAATGTTGATATTAAATGATCAACACTTTTTTTTTAAAGGCCAACTGGGGTGAAGTGACTAGCCCAGGATCACACAGCTACTAAGTGTCAAGTATCTGGTCTGAGACTGGATTTGAACTCAGGTTCTCCTGGCTTCAGGGCTGGTGCTCTAACCCCTGCACCACCTAGCTATCCCTTAAACGATCAACATTAAAGCATGCATCTTATGTAAACTACATAAAGTGGAAAATGTTCTGATATCAGTCAGTATCAGTCATTTCAATTTTCATTTTCCTTGAATGTCTTGGGAGTTAGGGTGCTGTTTCAATCAATCAACAGGCATTTATTAAGCACCTATTCTGTACCAGAGACTGTTAGGCTTTGCTTAAGTTGTATCTTACAGAAAAAGATTCTCCAAGGCAGGGGGAAGTATATTTCAGAGCAAACCCAGTGCAAAGACAGTTTGTGAGTGTGTGTGTGTGTATGTGTGTGTGTGTGTGAGAGAGAGAGAGAGAGAGCGTGTGTGCGTGTGTGTGTGAGACAGACAAAAAAAGACAGCTTGGTTGATTCACAGGAGGGGGAGAGAGCAATATCCAATGAGGTCATGTGATGAAAGGCTTCAAAAGTTCAACAAAGACAAGTTGAGGGGATGTCCATCAACTGGGGAATGGCCGAACAAGTTGTGGTATGTGATTATGACGAAATACTATTGTACTATAAGAAATGATGAGCAGGATGCTCTCAGAAAAACCTGTAAAGTCTTGCATGGGGTGATGCAAAGTAAAATGCACTGTATGCAAAATAAGAACAATACTGCAATGACCTGAAACACTTAGCTATTCCCAGCAATACAACACTCCAAGATAACTCTGAAGGACTTATGATGAAAAATGCTATCCATCCGCAGAAAAAGAACTGATGGTGTCTGAATAAACATTGAAGCATACTTTTAACTTTATTTTTCTTGAGTTTTTTTCCTTGTCTATTTTTTCTTTCACAACATGACTATTGTGTTTTGCATGACTACACATGTATAACCTATACAAAACTGCTTACCTTCTCAATGAAGGGGGGGGAAGAATATGGAACTCAAAAGTTTTAAAAAACAATGTTAAAAATCATTTTTAATGTAACTGGGGAAAAAAAATACTAAATAAAAGCTTAAAAAAAGTTGAACAAAGACAATGGAGTTTATTAAGTAGGAGAGTGACATGGTCAGATATGTACTTACAGAAAAATCAGTTTAGAATGGAACAGAGTAGATATAATTGAGGCAAGGAGACCAATGAGAAGGTTGATATAATTATCTAGGTGAAATAAGCATGGATTCACCACCAATAAAGAAGAAATTAAAACAAGAATTAGGAGCTATTTTGCCCAACTGTATGCCAATAAATCTGACATTCTTAGTGAAATGGATGACCACTTACAAAAATATAAATTACCCAGATTAACAGAAGAAATAAAGTACTTAGCCCCGTTTCAGAAAAAGAAATTGAACAAGTCATCAATGAACTCCCTAAGAAAAAAATCTCACAGACAGATGGATTTCCAAGTGAATTCTACCAAACATTTAAAGAACAATTAATTTCAATACTACATAAATCATTTGGAAAAACAGGCAAAAAAGTCCTACCAAATTCTTTCTATGGTATAAATACGGTGCTGATACCAAAACCGGGAAGAGCTAAAACAGAGAAAGGAAATTATATACCAATTTCTCTAATGAATATAGGCACAATAATTTTAAATAAAACATTAGCAAAGAGATTACAGCAACTTATCTTGAGGATAATATACTATGACTAGGACAGATTTATACCAAGAATGTAGGCCTGGTTCAATATTAGGAAAACAACCAGCATAACTGACTACATGAATAACAAAATTAACAGAAATCATATGATTATCTCAATAGATGCAGAAAAGGGTTTTGCCAAATACAGCACCCATGGGGCAGCTAGGTGGCACAGTGAATAGAGCACCAGCCCTGGATTCAGGAGGACCTGAGTTCAAATCTGGCCTTAGACACCTAACACTAGCTGTGTGACCCTGGGCAAGTCACTTAACCTCACTGCCTAGCCAAAAAAAACCAAAACCTAAACAAAACAAATACAGCATCCATTCCCATAGAACACACTAGAGAGCACAGGAATCAGTGGAGTTTTCCTCAAAATGGTAAGTAGCATCTGTCTAAAACCATCAGCAAACATTTTATGTAATGGGGATAAACTAGAAGCATTTCCAAAAAGATCAGTAGTGAAACAAAGATGTCCATTACGTTAGAAAAGAGGCTTTAGAGACCCTCAGAACAGAGTGGAGGCTTAAGCCCTGGCGAGCTGCTGCAGCCAATTGCCCCTTTGTTGTATTGACTCAGAAAACAAAGACTTCTAGTCAAAAACGAAACTAAGCTGGGAGTGAGTGAAGAATCATTTATTATGGTTCTTGCAAGAAACGGGCACAACTCCCGGAAGAAAGTGCACCTAATACAGAAAGGAGAGAAAGCTTTATACTGTGAGAGCATCACAACTCCTCCCTTTCATGCCTGGATTGGTGCATTCCTTTCCAGGTTACAATCTTCCTGGTCCACCCACCCCATGTTTCCCCTTGATATGTACCTCCTCCCTCATCAAAGGAGGCATGATCAGTTAATGAGGCTCTAATTCGATGTGGGGTGTGTCAGTTAATATTATAAGAGCTAATTAAGCATGCCCAGTTCCAAAAGCCATGCCCTTTGTCCTCCTTAGGGCTGGTTAAAACCGGTTCTGCCCTCTAGACTGAAAAACAGGAACTTTTAGAGTCTATTTCAAAAGACTAGGGCTCTTCTCATTGGCTTGCCCCTTCCCCTGTTTTCCTGTTTTCACAAGGTTTTGCAAGCTTGTTAAAACAATGAGACTTGTTATTGCCAAATTCTTTACTGATGTCGGAAAATATCAAAGGTTATCTTAAATTGTGGGACCATGATACCTTGTCCCTTATGAAAAGCTATCCCTTGTCTGATTTCCTTCCAGCACCATTCTATCTTTGTAGAAATTTAACCCTTACCTAATCCTCACAATTATGACCAGTTATTCAATATAGTACTAGAAATGTTAGCTTTAGTGATGAGAGGAAAAAGAAATTGAAGAATAGAATAGGCAAAGAAGAAACAAAGCTATCACTCTTTGCAGACGGTATGATGCTATACTTAGAAAATCCTAGAGAATCAACCAAAAAACTACTGAAATAATTAATAACTTTGGCAAAGTTGTAGGATATAAAATAAATCCACAGTAATCATTGGTATTTCTATATGCTACTTACAAAACCCAATAGCAAGAGATCAAAAAAGGTAACTGTAGATAATATAAAATATCTGGGAGTCTACCTGCCAAGACAAACACAGGAACTATATGAACACAATTACAAAACACACATGAAAAATAGCAGTTGCTCATGGGTAGGTGAGCTAATAAAATAAAAATGACAATTCTACCTAAAATAATTTACTTATTCAGTGCCATACCAATCAAACTACCAAAAAATTATTTTATGGAGCTAGAAAAAAATAATATGCAAAATTCATTTGGAAGAACAAAGGTCCAAAATATCAATGGAATTAATGAAAAGAAATGCAAGGGAAGGTGGTCCAGCCAGATCTAAAACTGTATTATACAGCAGCAATCATCAAAACTAGTTGGTACTGGCTAAGAAATAGAGTGGAATAGGTTAGGTACATAAGTCAATGACTATAGTATAATCTACTCCTGTTTGACAAACCCAAAGACTCCAACTTCTGGGATAAGAACTTTGACAAAAACTTCAGAGAAAACTGGAAAACAATATGGCAGAAACTAGGTATAGACCAATATCTTGCATCATAAACCAAGATTAAGATAAAATGGATACAGGATTTAGATATAAAGGGTGATACTACAAGCAAATTAGGAGAGCAAGGAATAGTTTACCTGTTAACACCTATGGAAAATGGAAGAATTTATGACCAAACAAGAGAAAGAGAATATTATGAAATGCAAAATGGATTATTCTGATTACATTCAATTAAAAAGGTTTCACACAAACAAAGCCAATGCAACCAAGATTAGAAGGGAAGCCAAAAGCTGGGAAATAATTTTTACAGCCAGTATCTCTGATAAAGGCCTCATTCCTAAACATATAGAGAACTGAGTCAAATTTATAAGAATGCAAATCATTCCCCAATGGTCAAAGGATATAAACAGGCAGTTTTCAACTGAAGAAATTCAAGCTATCTACAGACATATGAAAAAATGCTCTAAATCACTACTGATTAGATAAATGCAAATCAAAACAACTCTGAGATACCACATCACAGCTATCAGATTGACTAACATGACAAAACAGGAAAACGATAAATAAGATGTGGGAAAATTGGAATACTAAAGCATTG